TGTAACTTCTGTTTATCACTATTAACATTACCAAATGCACTTTCCCATTGTTTTATTTCCCGATTCCACCCCTTTCTCTCCTGATCAAAAACCTTTACTTGCTTTGAGTATTTAGATTGCAATGCTTCATTACAATCATTTAGCTCGGATATGGACTTTAAACTGCGTTGTAAAGTTTCTTCGAGCTCCTGCTCACGCATACTACCAAGACGATAACCTTTATTAGAGCTAATATCTCGTAGTGTATGTACATTAGCCATATATTCTTTTGGTTAAACTATGTGTATCAAAAAATAAGATAAATCGTAAAATTTTATATCTATATTTTTTAAACATGTCAGGTAATTACCGGTAACTTTAGAAAATTATCACATATTGCACATGTCAGGTAATTACCGGTAACTTTAGAAAATTATCACATATTAAATATATAATTACCGATAATTTTCAAAAATTTTATATAATTATAAAATGACGGAACACATAACTGCAGAATATTATCGTGCAGGTACACCTTATCTATCTCCAGAAGCTATTGATGAAATCATTCAATCTCGAGGGACGATTAAAAATGCATGCATGGAAATGGTTGATAAATATGGTACTTCGACTCGTCGAATTTATGAAATTTGGAAAAGGCATGCCCAAGGATTACCTCAGCGCAAGCAACAAATGATACAAAATACCTTTCCTTCTGAAACAGTATATATGCCTGAAAATAATATCACAAATGAGCGGACAAAAAAGAAAAGATCTAGTTCCAAATTGATTCATTCTACACACTCGATTTCTAATAACGGAGAAATGATGGAAAAAATAAGTGGGGGTGATACATGCGAAGCAAGGACACTTAGGTGTCTAAAGAACATTCCTGATACAGATATAATAGCCCAAGTTGAGCGAGAAATTAAAAGAAAGGATAAAAACTTAGCTACTAGCACTCGTATAAAATCTACTACTTAATCTATTTTGTCTTTATCTGTAACAGGCTCAATAATATTACCGCACTTTGCTTGCAGAGCTTCATTACAATCATTAAGTTCTGCGATCGATTTAAATGCATTATAAAGACTTTTCTCATATCTCTCGCAATTTACGCATTTTTTTTTAATGTCTCATTATCCTGTAGGATTTGATCCGGGATTGAGATGTCAGTATTCTGTACCACATTTGCACAATTTACTTCTAATTTATTTTTCACCTTATGCATAGTGATTGGGATAAAGAAATCTTCGCCATTATATCTGACTTTCAACTCACGTTTAGATGCGAGTAAATCATAGTTATATCTATCTAGAAAAGGATTACTAAATGCCAATAAAAACTTAGGATAATCAACGACAACAAATTTTTCACGTAAATTACAACCAGGTACCAAGTTTATAGAAAGTTCATGAGTAGTTCCAATTGATGTAGTTGGTACAGTGGCGGCACCACTGAGATCATGTTTTTCATCCGTATTAATTTTCAATCCTAATCGTTTAGCTAAGTTATGAGACATGATAGAACATTCTGCGCCTGAATCAACAATAGCCGCCGGGATTTTCAAACGTTTGATTTTGCATTTTATAGTTGCAACACTTGTAGCTGGTTCTTTTTTCCGAACAAAATCTATTTCCATAGGATCGTCTAATGTTTCCTCTTCTCCATCCTCACTATGTATTTCTGGAATCAGTTCTCGATAATTTGTGAAATCTAGTTGAGTCGGAGACTTGAAGCTTTGCTCCTGAATAGGCGTAATGATATTAGATGAATTTTCGATCTTTGATTTAAGTTTTTCTATTAAATCCACAGGTAGGATACCGTCAAATATATCTACTATAATTTTTTGAAGTGATTTATCAATAAGACTTGTTTTAACCGTTCGTTTACCACTCTGTTTTGTTTTATGAGTTTTGGACTTCTTTCCAGGCAACGATTTATTAGAATTTCTTTTTCGATTTACTTTTTTTTTTCTTTAGTTTTCGCCTTGGTAATGTTAACGTTCAAACTTTCAACTTCAGAAGAAGAATCATCAGAACTAGATTCAAAGCCATTATCAGAAGAGTTAGTATCGGAATCCGAATCTGAATATGAATTTGAATCTGAGCTAGAATTTATATGAGCAACGTTAACCTTAGCTTTTCTCTTAAATTTGTTTTTCTTCTTCCGAGGACAGTTGCGGGAATTATGACCGGTTCTATTACAATTGGAACATCTATGAGATAATTTGTTGGAAGCACGAATACCTGTTTTCACTCCCTGTGCAACTCCTTTTGATATAGCCTTATTTATCGATAACTTATTCATACGATTGGCCAATTCATCATCAGAGTCAGTTTCAGCATTCTTCGAACTATTTCCATTATTTTTTATTTGCGGTTTTGGAGGTAAAGGAGGAGCTGGAACAGGAATGAATTCTGGAATTTCTCCATATATCCATTGTAAAAAACTTTCCATATTTCTATCTTGTATATTTTTATACGTTCCAGGAGGTTGTGGTCGGAATTGAGAAGAGGCCGATTGTATAACTGATTCTTTGGGCCGTATTTGTGTTTCCTGGGGTTCTGAAGAAGGAATCATAGATTTTATTAGGTTTTCGATTTCAGACTTACTCATACCTGTATTGCTTGAGTAATTATCTTTTCCACGAGACTCGGACATCGGGAATACCGGAAAAGAAGATTGAGTATGCTCTTGAGCCAATGTATATTTTTCCGCCTCTGCCAATGCTGATGTAATATTTTCCATTGTATCATTAAATTTAGCCATCATACGAATATTATATTGATTCATAGGGGATAATCCACGAATAAATTGTTCTCTCTGTTGCTGAGGAGACATTCCGGCGAGCTTGCCAATCTTTTTTATTTTATTACTAAATTCTTCCACTTGTAACGATCCTTGCATAATCTGACCAAAAACGGCCATTTGTTTTTGCGCCTCTACTGTAGTATAAAAATTCCTAAGTCTATATATTTTTTGACCAAGTTTAATGCCGGGAGCAATCGTAACATTGTTAGGAAATCCTCCACCTGCATTTGGCGCTACTGGCGCATTATTTGTTGGTTCTCCACCTGCTATTGACCAATCTTCATCCCATGTACCATTTGGAATAATATTAATTCCGGCTGCAATTCCTGCGCCAATTCTACCTATTTCTTCGGCTGCCTTACCACGAAATTGATTGGCAGTATTTAAACCGCCTATCTGATTACCACCATTTCCAGCACCCAAAGTTCGAACAGCAGTTAGAGTAGCTACTCCTAAATTATCGGAAAGATTATTACATTTCCAATTTTTACCTTTGATATTAGTTTCATACCAATTCAATGCCGGGCCTTCAAGACATGATTCAAATAAACCATCTGCTTCCGCTCTTCCAGCAACACCGCCCGCGCCTGGTGTAATATTTATTCGAGAAGCTACTACGTATCTCTGAAAATCTCTAAGAAAATCTTCTGGATCTTCTCCAGGATTACCTCTATAAATTGGGGGTCCGTATCCTACCATTCCGATATGTTGGTTATTTATATGTATATTATCCCGAAGCAATAAATTTTCTTGATTTAAAATATTTATTATTCGGTTCTGATCGTTGATATCATCCTCAGCTATTTCGAGTTCATTCACAATGCGATCCCGATTAAATTCCAATAAGCCTCTTTCATTACGGCATTCTAGTAAATCTTGTTCAGCTTTGCGTCGTAATCTAATATTCT